AGGTCCCATATGTTTTGGATGTCCCATATTCTTTTAGATGGATTTTATCCCATAGTTGATACCTGGTCAGTTTCTCAAGTGGTGGATACTCGATTATTCCTTTGCCATCTGTTGTCAATAAGTACTTAAAAACAAAGAAGTACTTTGCATGAACTTTAGAAAAGCAATAATAATCTGCAGATACACAAAGAAAACACATTTTTCAGCTTCCCGTAGAGATTCAGGGGACAAAAAATTATGAAAAGATGTTAGATTCTGACAAATGGATCTGAATAAGTTGTAACACAGGACAACAATTTGAAAGCAGAGTAATTAGAAATAAACTGTTTAATATAAAACAGAGCTTCCCCACGTATTTAACTCAATGGCAACATAGTATGAGAATTTAGAGAGTTATAATAAAGCGCTATAAAAATGTTCTGGCATAAGACATTTGCTGTTTTACTGGAAGTATGGACAAGATTCACAATGAATAAAATATAAGTAATGTACAATTTAGTTACTGAAACTGTACTAAAGTGTTTGCAGAAAAGAGAATTAAATTTTCTCCTATATCAAATTGTCTAATAATAATAGCATCCTTCTTTTAAATGCTACAAATCAACCTGTCACTTCCTATCATGCAATTTGATTGTTACATTTCCTTTTACTTTTGAAGAGCCTCGTGGGATGAGGGTAGAACAAGAGCTGTCAATTTATGACAAAAAACATTTCATATTTGAAGTCACAAAACTCAGAGTAGGTGATGAGATCTGGAAAAAAGCCCTCAGTAGTTTTCCGCATGAGATTAACGAACAGTCAAAATTGTTGATATTCCCTACATAAAAATTTATATGGCAAGGACAGTTCATGGTATTAGAGCAAAACTGGAGTTTTCCAATAGTTTTATTATGTTGAAACCAAATTCCCTCACCTCAGCTATAAAAGAGCCAGAGTGATTTGGGACTGTGTCCTTTTTTATGCATGAGAGCAAATAAAGATGCAGCTCTTCTAAAGAATATCTGGAGAAATTAAATAAATTTTTAAACACTGAACTACTCGTGCCTCTTTGACATCGACTTTACTTAAGAGTTCTTTGAGATCTTCAGACAAAGAGCATAATTCATAATTATCATAAAATAATTTAGGTCGGAAGGAAGCTCTGGAGATCATACAGTCCAACCTCCTACTTGAAGCTAGACTGAACTTCAAGGAATCCCTAAATATTTTCATTAGGATAGTTGGTTGTTGTTGTCCTTTCCCATTTAAACAGATTTGCATTAAAAAAGCAACTCTGCAGTAGTTACTAGAAGTCAAACTAGAAGTTAAAATATCTGTATTATCAATGATTTTTAGGTAGGAGATAGAATATTCACATTGATATGTTATTTTCTAATTTACTCATAAGATTTACTGTTCCATAACTGCAGTTGCTAGGGAAATAAATTCTGCATAACTGAAGGAAACCAGGAAGAAAATGAGCAGAGTGTTTTCAAACAGTCACTCTGTGAGACTTTGGCCACCATACATCAGTGTTGATTATTTATTTCCTCTACAAGAAACATACATTAGTGTAACAACTCTTATTGTTATGGTGGTGAGGAGAAGTGTTTGTTTCCCTGCATGTTTATTCTATTTTATTTTTATTTCTGAAGTAGTTACCTTTGTACCACAATGACAATGAATTCATATCTGATTTTAGAAATATTGTTTTATTTTTCTGAAAAACATTATTGACTAGAAATGTCAGCCACCATGAGTCCCACTCTGTATGGATCAGAGTTATTTTAGCTACACACTGTTTTGGAAATATGGAGGCCTATTGACTGCATTCAAAATAAAACTGCAGTGCTGCTGCAAGCATTCAGTGAATCACTTATAGTAAATTTGTTTGTGGAAGCAGTTTAACTATAGTATCAGAAAAAAAAAGAACACAATGGCATGTGCTAGTTGACTTTTAAGTTAGCATCTGTAAAAAAATAAATGTTGGTGTAGTAACTGTAGTCTTTGTACAACACAACAAATGTTGTTCCTGCAGGCATTAATGAATGCATTCTACTATTTATGAATATCAACATCCAAAAAAATTTCAGCAAGATCTCAAGTCTTGAAATTCCTACTCAGTGCAGTGACTCACAGCATGAAGTCCAAGACTTAGTCTACAAGCCAGTTGTTTCAGGTCAGTGAGCCAAGTAACAGCACAGATTGTGATGCAGTTCAATACAACAATTCATTGGGAATTTGAACTCTTGGTATGGATGTGGTGTTTATTTTCTCCATTTTAGCTGCTCAAAAAATCCAAATCTGTCACTGCATATATAAATACACATTACTGAAATATTGTTTTGTTTTTAAAAATATATTAAACCCTCATTAACATGCTTAGAAACTGGGGCAAAAAAAAGAGCATCTCATGGATTTACATGCAAGTCCACTTGGAGCTAATCTCAGAAATCCTTAGGCCCTCTCCACAGTGGCAATACAGCTGTAAACTATCTTAACCAGCCTTGTGAGAATGCTCTTACACAAGAGATTTGTCAAACAGGCAGCAGAGAGCTGACACAGCAGCTCTTGCAAAAAAAATGCAGACCTAGGCTTTCACTGCCTAAGATGTTTCCTGGCCATTTTCACATAGTAACAGTTTTAGCTTCTAGGTGAGCCTAACATCTGAAATAAACTAAAACAACATTCAATTTGCTCCAAAGAGATAATGATCCCTACAGGCAGTGAAGCCAAACTGTGATTCTGAGGTACCCCCAGACGGCATGTGTGTAAATGAACGTATACAAGAAAGAAGAAGCATACAGTGCTTTAAAATACCATTATTTCTGATATTTATTTTTATATGTAGAACAGATGCAAAAATATGTTATCTCTGTGCAAGTAGAGGTACATGCTGTGATTTTTAATGTATAGTTTCAGTTGTGTGACAAACATAGCTGCATCCGTCCACCTTAAAAACTTGCACTGTTCTTTGCTGATGCAGCACTAACCCTTAACATAATTCCCACATCTATTTTGTCAGGGAAAGTGGTTCTTTCCTTGCATTGTTCTGAAAGGAAAAACCATTAGTACCAAATTAAGGGAATGTCAACAAATATTGTAACAAAATATTTCAATATTATAATTCATTCTTGTGTGGACAGTAGCTTAGGAAAGGGGAACAATCTGTTCAAGAGAGGTCTTGTTGATAAATGGAACTAATGTCACTCACAGATTCCTGTTTTAACTCATAATGATTTACTGTGTTTTATATTAGGAAGCTGAATTTTTTTGTAAAATCTGTCCAACAGAAGTCGAACATCCTGTTTTCTTCAGGGCAGACAATCTCCACTAATTCAATGTGGAATATTTACTGGAGGTATTTATTGATATGTCCACCACTTGAGAGAAGGTAAACCTCTAGTGTGGAATGTGGTGGATAATCCATTTCATGACAGTTACCTAAAGAACGTGACCTGAGACCTTAGCTGCTAGCAAGCACCAGGGGAGCCTGATAAGCTAAGAAAAAAACATGTTGTTCTAAGCAGGGTGGAGGTCTTATGGCTAAACTGCATGAACAGCCTTGCAGGGATATGAACTTAATGATAGTATTAGGACTAATAAACTATCTTGGGGTTTGGGTTTTTTTTTTTTTTTTTGAGCCAGCCCTGAGCTAGCAGTTTTCCACCTTTCTGTCAAAAACATGTTTTTGAGTGAACGTGGCAAAACAAAGATACATTTGACTATAGTCACTCAAGCTCCACCTGAAATTAAGAAAATAGAATAAAAATGGCTTAAGAGAGAAGGAATTTCAGGGGAAGATACCATTGCAGACAAGGGAGGAAGATACCATCTCAAACAAGTCAGGAGGACACTGCTGACCGCCAGGACCGGTCAGCGGGCTGAGCCTCTCGTTCCACTCCCATATTGGAATACCTACTGAGTAAGATTCACAAACTCTGTTATACTGACTTTTCCCTGGGAAACTCAGAAATCTCTACAGAGTTGTTCTATGATTGAATGCAATTGTAGACGGCCATATTATTCATGTCCTTGGTTAACCTCACATGCTTTGAAGACATTTATAACTGAGAATCCAAAAGATTCTGTAATTTGTTGCTTTAATAAACTCTGCTATTCACTAATCTAGCTGTGAGAGTTCTCATAGTGTACTGCCAGATTCTGTAAGAGTGGTCATAAGAGCACATCTGAACATGACTGGATGAATTGGGCAGTATACAATTTTTGAATCCGTAATCATGCTAGTTCATACATTGAATGAGACTGGACTCAAAGCATCAAATTGGGCATCACTCAGAATCTAAGCTCAGCCCCTCTGATATTTGAGGATAAGGTGAAACATGAGGAGGTTTATTTTCTGTCAAACTTCTCTGCCTTTTTCACGTCACTTCTCTGCCTCTTTCACATGTACAAGAAAAAAGACCGTGTACATCATGTGAGTGATGCAAATCTAACAGTAAGTTTGAGCAGGTAAAGGTGGGAACATCCTGACACTATTCCAGTCATAGTTACCATATTTCAGTGATAATTTGATAATTTGCTTTTACCATTGAAGGCTGAAAATATTTATGATATGATATGATACCTGAAGTACCAAAACATTTGGCTGAACCACAAGCTTGTAGATATATACATTGTTTAACTGTAATGCTCTACTGGTTGTTCATGAAACCATTTGATTAGAAGCTAGGTTGAATTCTCCTTAATTGATCTAAGTACATACTGCTGATCAAGAGAATACTTCCCAGCCTTTTGAGTTGCTATCAATCCCATTGCCTTTTCATAAGAAAGATGGAAATCAATGCATAGAAAGGGATATTTGTATCTCAATACTGAGTCTTTGAACTTCAAAGTCTGTGCCTCCTCTAGGAAGTAATAATAGCCTCCTTTTTTTACAGTGCTCCTTAGAAGCTGCTCTGAAAACAGTACAACAGAAGGCAGTATTTTTAGTCCCACCAAAAAGATAAAGCTTCTAAGGCAAATAAAGGAAAAGAAATACCCAGTTCAATAGTACTTACCAAGCCAGTACTAGAATCTTCAGCAGATAGCAGTCCTTAACTTTCCAGCTCCAGCATATTGCTTACCTGCTAAACACACTGCTTGATGTTGAAAAGCAATCACCATTCTGTTGGAAACGTGAGTGACGACAAAGTATGTCAGTATAAAGAATATGCATCCTATGGGCTTAGGTTATGTTACAGAAATGTGTATTTACAGCAGAGTGATGTAAAATCCTACTGGAGAAAAGACATAGGTAGTTTGTACTTCAGTATTTTTGGACACATTTAAATCTGGTCATCAGTGAAGGTCTTGAGTAGTTGCAGCTTGTTTAACTGCGTTGTGTACTGAGGGCATTTTCCTTTAGGATATTCATTTGTGAGAACTAAATTGAGATTGTGATTGGTATTCTAAAAAAAAATCATGCATTGTTTTCTGTCAAATAAAAACTCAGCATTCTAGACTAGCTTTGGAATACAGCCAGTGGATGAAAACATAAACCTGCTGTCAGCCAGTTGTGATATATCACAACAGTTTCAAAGAGGTGAAATTATATTAGAACTGTAGTGTTAGCTCCCCCTCTCTGTTACACCTCCTTCTAAAACCACTGAAAATATATTTTAAAATTAGGAATGCAGAAAACTAATTTTCACCTAAAACTGAGGCTTTGAACTTAAGCCCCATGATATGTAACCCTACTTCAAATGCTAATTTTTACCTTCACTCATTTACAGGCTTAGAAATTCTGCCTGCAGGAGAACATGTGAAAAGCTGTAAATAAAGAGATAAATCAATTTCAAATGGGATTCCTAAAGCGTGTAATGTGCTCAGACACAAGGCATGACCTGCAAAGGCACATGGATGAAGGAATGCCAGCTCCACAGTGTTTTTGAAAGCCAGGACGAAAGAAGAGAGATAATCGTCTCATATTTTTAATTCAGGTTATTTACTATTTGTCCTGCAACGGATTATAAAGGCAGCAACACTGGAAAAATATGAATGCCACAGGTTATGTACCTTTCATTCCACACTTCTTAAATCCAGTAACCGCACTGCACTTTTTATGAAATGTGTACCTGCAGATCTAATTGTACAGTTCTAGCCTTAAATTAAATTAGTGATGGATAACTACAAACCAATACATCCAGGAATGAAAAAATGAAATACACTTTCATGTTGCTGAGTTCTAAACAGAGTACAATAAACTAGGAAAAGACCTAAGGGTCACTGCAAACAGCAGTCCCAATAGGTAACGAAGCACTGAAAAAGGACAGGTTTTAGTACTGTGCATTTCTCTATTTATTAGTGGCACAATGCCATGTGTTCTCTAAGGCTTAAGATCACTAGTTTGTCTCATAATCATATTTGTAATAAATCTTTAGCAAATATAGAAAGTGGCAGTTAATATTCAGTGTAATTGGGGAAAATAGGGAAAATATAGTCTCTATACTTCTATATTTGAAGGACAACTGAAAGAAACTGTCCAATTTAATCTAAATGAGAGCTGAATAAATTTGAGGTTTATGTTCTTATTTTAGAGCAAATGAATGAGTTTCCAAAATGCTTTAAACTAAACAGGAACAAATCGCTTTTCCTCCCAAACAAGACTGGTCACACAATGAGGATGGCAGTACCTTATTCAGAAATAACAAACCGAGAAAACTTGATATATATAGACTAAACCTTGATCTACTAGCTCTTTTTTCCTACAATCTGTTTCTGTAAAAAACATTAATCTTAGCAACTTCCAGTCCCTGAGGACAGCTATTGCCATTCCTGTAAGTACTTTTAAATGATTTTCTTCCAATTTCATCATGAGTGAAACTATAAATACACAATTAAGGATTAACAGCACCATTCATTAGACATGACATAGAAGCCTTACGTGCTGTTGTTAGAAAGAGACAGTCAATATTGCTGCCTATTTAAAATAGACCAAAAAAATCCTAGGTCTTGTAAGCAGAAATACTTGGGGTACAAAAGCTAATGAGTCATATGTAAATCTGTAGTTGACACCCTTGTTAGATCTAAAAATACTTTGAAATGTTTTAGATTAAATAAGATTTAAAGGGTTAGTACTCTTTTTAAGAGGTGTGGGGAAAAAAAAGAACACTTTTTTTAACACAGCCAATGTCCAAGAAAAGAAGAAAACCTATGTAGTAAAAATTCTGCTCTTACTGTTTTCCTGATGTTAAAAAAAATAGAAGAAAAAAAAAAAAGGCTCTATTGTTCTGCAAAATTACTAGATAAGCCACCAAACAGTTTTGGTTAGAGAATAGTTGCTTGGGATTTAAGTTATGTGACAAATGAAAAAACTGTCTGCAGTACTGCTGTCCCAGTATACCTGCATGGCCTTCTGCATAATATCCACAGCTTCAGTGTCTTCACACCATCTTCGGGGAACAGGATGAAGCTTCACAAGTGAGATCTCCTCATCTAATTACTTAGAAAGCAAGTGTTGATCACACATGCTGATGAACACAAGATTAGGCTCCCTTTATAAAACTTCAATAAATCGTGTAGAATTCTTATGATTCTGAAATGTCAGCTATGGCTGGATGTGGTCCACAAGAAGTTTTCTTCCTTTCCTTCAATGTTTCTGCAGTGCCAATTCAAATAGACTGCAAAAACCATCATGCCAGCAAAGAAAACGTCAGTATGTTGGTCTTACAAGACTATGGATGATATATATATACACAGCTTTCATTTCTTGAGCAAATCCTGTCGTCTATGGAGAAAAGATCAATGGATTTTCCCCATTCCACCCTGTTGTGGACCTGACGGGATACAAACATACAGCTTAGTACTGTGGCCCTGAAGGCAGGGCTGGTTCAGAGGTCATTTTGAGAGATAAATTCAAAGTGTGTTTCCTCCAGAGGAGAAAATAAGTAGCGGTATTAGCAGGTTGTCAGTATTGCTTGCAAAACACATGGCTGCTAAATGGTAATTGCCACAGCATCAAGGTTCAGGGAAGATTTTAAGAATGATCAGTGTCTGAGCCCACTTTTTGAAGACATTTTAAAGGTTATTTATGGCAATAATAACCATAAACTGAGACTGGGGAAGAGTTTATACTATGCACTGGTTCTGATTTTTTCTAGGTAACATCATCTGCAGGAAATAACTGTCAGCAATACTGTCCATCTGCAACAGAGCCACACTTGGTCCTACCTAGTCAAGGACACAGGTATGCTCAAAGAATGTGAAGGAAGTGTTCATGAATCCTGCCTAATGCAGGAAGTGCCATGGTCACCTCATTAGAGAAAATGGATTTTTTGTCTCTGCCTTCAGTGGGGTATAGATTTTGTCCCAGGTATAATTCCATTCTCAGCTTTTAATGGGCACTGCAGTATGTGGATCTGCACATTTTTTTCTCCCTTTCTGCCTGCATCCTGTACAGAGCTGTTGTAGTTTGTCTTTCTGTTAGGCACATGCTCTATGAAATACAGGAATTTATTAAACCACCCAATCCATCAGTTGAAAAATAAAAAAGAGTTCATAATTTTTTTTCCGTGATGAATTACAGAGCTTGCTGTGTCTTCACCAGCTACTAGTGTACTGGATTTCCAGCTAGCTGTGCTTTGTTTAATATTTATGAGCAAAGTGTCTGTACTGGGTTAAGTCTGTAATGGGAAAGCATATTTCATTTTTGCTTAAAGTAGAATGCCTGTGACAATCTGTATGCTAAATGTGATAGCTACCTGCCATAATGTTACCTACACCATTCTGTTATAGACCTGCAGTGTTAGTCCTTCATGAATCACATTTACTATCTGCTGCTTATTAATAATGCAGAAAACTAAAGTGAAGAACTAGTGCAAGTAAACTATCCACTGGTAACAGTTTTTTCTCCTAATGAGAATTCTGCAGCTATAAGCAAAACTAACAACCGTCTGTGCAAGCTTTCCCTTCTCATTCAAATTGGATATGAAATTCAAGCTCACCCTGGGTGGCTGCAGTTTCACTGAAGCAATCCTAACAGCTTTTTGAAATGGGACATTTATGGCAGGTTTAGCTTGTTCAAAAATTGTTTAAAATCTTGAATTACAAATATTTTGCTTCAGAATTTCTACATTTCATTCTGCAATTACTCAAATATTATTTAATAATTTATAGCATAATGTTTACATGAATAATTTTAATACTGTGGGTAGTATCATGTTATCAGTTTTCCACCTCTACTAGACAAAAATGGAGGCATTTCCGATCCTGGCTTGTATGAATATGCATGAATATCAGTAAAATCCCAGCTTGATTTCTCTCAATGTCTTTTTCAGAGAAACTGATAGTAGATTATAAAATAGATACATAAAAAATCACATGGCAATGACATCAAAACTAAATGTTAGTTTTTCTTATATTCTTTAACAATAAAACATTTTATTCTGTGCACTACATTTTAAACACAATTCTATTACTATGTACATGGCATGAAATACAGAAGTCAAAAAATTAAGAATGAAGCATTCTCTTCCCTAAGGCTTGTTTTAAAAGCAATGTCAATTCAGCTTTAGTTACTCAGAGTGATTATTCTCTGACTTCTGTTTATGCATCTATAATACCTACAGCTCAAATGAGAGATTAAACTGTGCTATGCATCATATCTGATAAAGCAACATAAATGTGACAGATCTATCCCAAGAATCTCCCGATCTCAAATCTTGAGGGCAGACAAAAAAATGCTCACTCTAGTGGTCAAAAATCTGTATGTAACCAATGAGGAAACTTGTGTATCCAGAAAGTATGCAGCCATTAAACAGCTTGAACTTTCTCAGTTTTCATCCAGAAGCCTTTCAAATTTTGGCAGTTTTGATCTATAGCTCAGTGATCTATCTATAGATTTCAGAAACGAATAGGCAGAGGTGCTAGTATAAGGTTAAACTGTTACCACAGTAAATTTTACTGTGATATAAGATTCCTGTGAATCACTAAAGTCACTTATATTTTTTAATAAAATTACAGGCATTTTAAAATTTCTGCTTTCTAAACAAGGATGGCAAATTATTGGGAGTGCCCTTTTTAACTTATCTACTTTTAGAACAGCTTAGAATAACAGTTGAAGTACTGCAGCCAGTGGAGAAAATTAAAATTCTGGCTCTACTTTCCAGTTTTCAGGTATTGAATTTTTAGAAAAGTTCCAATTTTTTAAGTTGTCAGCAGATTCCCTTCAGGGGCATATAAATCTTCATTTCTAAGTTGAAGAAAGGAAGCAGCAGGAATTGCTAACAAATGATCTGAATAAAGCTTTTATCATGCTAAATAGATGAAGATGATATGCTATGAATCAATGTATCTTTGAGCAAGCAGTCCAACTGAGGATTCCTGGGACTA